ACTCATTAAATAGCCCAGGCTGGTCTCAAACTCACAGCGATCCTCCTGCCTCAGCCTCCCGAGTGCTGGGATTACAGGCCTGCCCCACCATGCCCAGCTTTGTTTTGTTTTTTGAGTAGTTCAGGCTGGCCTTGAACAGACCAGGCAGCTCAGGCCAGCCTCAAACTTGCAGCAATCCTCCTGCTTCAGCCTAATGAAAGCTGGGATTACAGGCGGGTGCCGTTATGCCCTGATAAGTGTTTTGTGGTTTTTCTGGTTTGGTTTTGTTTTGAGACAGAGTCTCCCTGTGTAGCCCAGGCTGGCCTTGAACTTGCCGTGATCCTCCTGCCTCAGCCTCCAGAGTCCTAGGATCGCAGGTTTGCACCACCAGTCCTGGCTCTGATCAGGTATTTTAGAAGCCCCTTGAAATCAGGCATGGTGGTGCACAGCTGTAATCACAACATGGGAGGCTGAGGCAGAAGGAGCTCAAATTTAAGAATAGCCAGGGCAACTTAGTGACACAGGGGGACTCTGTCTGAAAATTTTTAAAAATAAAAATATAAAGGGCTGAAGGTATAGCCCTGGGTTCTATCCCCAGCCCCTTTCAATCTGGACTGAATATTTTCTCCTAATCAGTGCAGGTACCGACGAAATCCACCTTCATTCCTGGAGGCCTAAGCACAGTTTCGGGTGAAAGTGTTTGCTGTTTGCTGCGTGTGAGGCTGCTGGGAAGACCGTTCCAACCTCTTCTCTGCCCCACCCCAAGCCGAGAGGGGACAGCAAGGGCCAACCGTTTCCTGAAGAAATCAAGTCCCAGTGCCAGGCCTACAGGCTATTGGACAGGCCACTGACCATGTCTGCCAAATAGTCCCAGGGAGCAGGGCATGCTGGGCAACCCTGTTATCCCAGCACTCAGGAGGCTGAGGCAGGAAGATTGCCTAGAGTTCCAGGCCAGCCTGGGCTACATAGGGAGTTCAAGGCCAGCCTGAACTAGTGAGACGCTGTCTAAAAAAAAAAAAACAAAAACAAAACAAAACAAAAAAACACAGAAACCAAACAAAAATAAATTAAAGTCCTACAGGGTCTCCCTTCAGCAAACTGCATCAAAGAGATAAAATCACACACTCAAGGTCTGGGTTTGAATCCCACTAGAGGCAGGTTTGGATCTGCCTGATCCTGATCCTTTCTCTCTAAAGGTCCACATAGAAATGATTCAAGTGTTTGTGTAAAGTAGCCAAGATTAGGCCACATAAATGACACAATGCATAACAGAGACTAGGTTTTATTAAAACAATTTTTTTTTTGCCACGCGTGGTGGCGCACACCTGTAATCCCAGCACTTGGGAGGCTGAGGCAGGAGGATCACTGTGAGTTCGAGACCAGCCTAGGCTACACAGTGAGTTCCAGGTCAATCTCAACTTCATAGTGAAACCCTGTCTCAAAAAACATGACTTGTGAGACAGTCCCGTCATGTATTTCAGGTTGGCCTTGATCTTACTATGTAGCCTGGTCTGGCCTAGAACTCACAGTGATCCTCCTGCCTCAGCCTCTCAAGTGCTACGATTACAACGTGTTCCACCATGCCTAGTTCTGTTGTATAAACTTCTTGATATTCAGGGCTGGGGATTTAGCTCAGTGGTGCTGCTGCCTGCCTTGCAAGTGCAGGGACCCGAGTTCAATCCCTGGTACCCAAAAAAATAAAGTAAGAATAAACTTCTTGATATTCAAACATTCCAACGGGGGAGACCATCCGTGCCTCACTCCATGCAGACAGGGCAGGTGATGAGGGCCCCTAAGGGACAGGGCCAGCTCGGGAGTGTCAAGAAATTCCTTAGAGACAAGTCTGAGACAGGCTGGAGGCCACAGAGGAGCCTTCGACAGGGTACAAACCATGACTCTGAAGCCAGAGCTGAGAGGACAAAGAAGGGACAGAGGTCAGGTGTGATGCCTGCCCACCCAGAACTCAGGAGGCTGAGGCAGGAGGATCACATGGAGTCTGCGCTATATAGGGAGACACTGTCTCAAAAGAAAGGAAACAGAAAGCCGGGTGTGGTGGCACACACCTGTAATTCCAGCACTCAGGAGGATCGCTGAGAGTTCGAGACCAGCCTGGGCTACATAGTGAGTTCCAGGTC